ATTGTCAAAGATGAGAAGATTTTACAAGCTCTTGGTGTGTTCCAGTTGGATAATTAATTAATCCAAATCTTAATTTATCAATTTTTAATCTCATTGTGTCAACTTTTGTAGCTATCTTGCAAGGATCAGTCAAGTTATCACACAAACAGTGGCGGAAAGGATTATTGAAGGTCAGCTTACGAAGTAATTTGGTCGATAGACTTTTTATGGTTTTTCCAGATTGATGACTCTTTGCTATCTGCGAATACCCTGCAACAGTTGAGAACTGCACTCCCTCCATTAGATGTAATCAAAAAACTTTCTGAAGTGGAACCTTCTATGTTGGAAGAAATGCCTGAGGGAGAACAGGTAGAAATTTTCTACAATTGATCTTACTGCGAAGTACAAGCAAGACCATTTGCTTCTAATTTCAATGTGCTTAGTTCTTGGCATCGCTTGCATCCATCAAAGCGCTCCCATTACGGCTTGACCTCATCATTTTCAAACTTCGCTTCCAAGAGCTCTTGAATGATCTGAAGCCCGTGAGTTTGTTGATTGCTTTAACATTGTTTAAACGAAGCGTAAGTGTTAGTAGGCAGTTAATTAATATTAGGTTACCAACAGGCGATTCAGTCAGTAATCTTTTGCTCTAGGGTATCTCATCGGTGATGGAAGCTTGCGACGAAATTCGAAAGTCGAAAGGTTTCAGAAAATTCCTTGAGTTGGTGCTTCTTTTTGGAAATTTCATGGGCCAATCATCAAAGACTTACAAAGACACGTTTGCTTTCGAAATGAGTGTGCTCACAAAGGTTAGTGCAGTTTGCACTACGCAAACCGACTTAATATTGGTCTTATCTAGTTGATGGACACAAAGGACGTTGACAATAAATACACGCTTCTTCACTACATGGTTGACTCATTGCGCCAATCCGATCCAAAGCGTTGCCGGTAACTTTCTATTCGTTTTTGAGCGATAACAACGAGTTTGTAGCAATCATATCAGGCAATCTAAAAATAGCTTTTATTTGAGACGTAAATTAAAATTATCATAGATATCTAGCGAATTACTAGCGACTTCAAGGAAAATCTCCAATTGCTACTAATCTAACTAACTAGTCTACTACCATATAGTCAAAGAACGGATTGTATTGTCATAGACAAAGTGTAGCAACGATTGGTCACATAGGGAAATTTTCTTTTGCCTTTCTCTATAAACTGCTGTGATTAGTACAATTACCGTTAGGATAATCTCAGCCTTGGATATTGGGTGGTAAAGATTTTACGCGTTCTGCATAGCTTAGAGCGTTAAGTTCTTGGGCGTAAACAGCGTGCTAAAAAGTTTGCTGAAAGTGGAACAGTGC